GAGACTGGATAACATTAAAAGCAACTTATAAAAACTCAAAAGCCTGGGTGAGTGAGGTTGAACAGCAAGCTGTGGGAGGAAGCCGGAGTAACCGGAGAGAACCCACACATGACACACAGAGAGGCTCCTGTCAGACGGGGATTCAAACCAGGAACCTCCACTGAGAGACCACTGCACCACTGGAAACATCCAGTTGCAGTAGCCGTGTTTCCACCTGTAGAGGGTGCTCACTGTACACATTTCTAACACAATATTTCAAATTGCAATACTTTGTAATCAGAGGTGGAGATTTGGACCTGAACTGAACCACATCACTCCAAATGGACGTCAGGCCAAACGTCAGAATTTGCAGACCTGTGTTTTAGAATGAATCACTGCTGCTCTCTTTCTCTCTCTCAGCAGCTTTTAACTCAAACACGACTGATGATCTGAAGGTTTTCTCTAAAGCTTTTGGTTCTTTTTGATTCTTTGGATCATCAAAATAACAGAGATTGTTTTTGTTTGAAAACACCAAAAAGTCTCAGTTTTTAACACCTTTAGTCAAATCAGACCTCGTGTGTATTTCTGTCCTTTTTGTTGTTTCATTCTGCAGTGACCCACATCCCCCTGCAGGCGACCAATCAGGGTTAATATGACCCAGAGTGACTGTACACACACACACACACACACACACACACACAGACACACACACACACACACACACACACACACACACACACACACAGACACACACACACACACACACACACACACACACACACACACACACAGACACACACACAGACACAGAGACAGACACACACACACAGACACACAGACACACACACACACACACACACACACACACACACAGACACACACACAAACACACACACACACAGACACACACACACACACACACACACACACACACACACACACACACACACACACACACACAGACACACAGACACAGACACACACACACACATACACACACACACACACACACACACACACACACACACAGCAGAGATTTTACCAGGAAGACAGAGGCATTCTGGGAAGTGGGGCTCAGGCAGGATCAGAAAAAAAACAATTTGCAGACGAAGAAAAAATGGAGGATGGGGTTCAGATGGAGAGAGACGACACACACGTCCTGAAGCTTTAACGAAACGACTCGGAGAAGACCCGAGAAAGTTTATTTTGAACATCAGACGACATTTTTTACTTTTTTTCCCTCCTCCTCCCAACATCGATCACAGACTCCGTGCACGAGACGCCACAAACAAACCAATGTTTGACAAACAGTGAGCGAGCTAACAGGTCAGGTATGTTGTTATTCTGCAGTCAGAAGTGACCATATTTGGAGAAGTGGGAGGAGCAGGGGAACCCTCGCTATGGTCACTTCTTGTTAAGCTATTAAAGCTAAAAATTTGCTTTCTAATGAGCTAGCAGTCCATGTTTGGTTCTCACAGACTCAGCTAGCTGCAAACTGTTGCTAACATGTAAATAAAATAATGTTCTAATGTGACTGGTTGTAAGTTTGATATTTACATGAACAACATCACCAAGAGGCTCCAACAGCACAAACACGGCCCAGAGGTTAAAGGTCAGGGACTGAATCAACTAAGGTGACACCTAGCAGACAGCTAGCTGCTCCCACCTGTCACTCAAAGAGGCCACACCCCCTAATTCTACATCCCTTTAAGCCTTAATGTTGGCAGGTGACTGTATAATAATGCTGTTGTCATGGAGACAGAAATGAGCTCTAGAGACCCAAACTGTTTTTGTACCAGGATGTAAACACATTAATTTTAACATAGAGCTCTATGAGGACTGACTCACTGCAGGAGACAGACTCTAGTGGACACTGGAGGAACTGCAGCTGTAAAGTTAGACATTTTAACATTGGGCTCTATGGGGACTGACTCACTGCAGGAGACAGACTCTAGTGGACACTGGAGGAACTGCAGCTGTAAAGTTGGACATTTTAACATGGGGCTCTATGGGGACTGACTCACTGCAGGAGACAGACTCTAGTGGACACTGGAGGAACTGCAGCTGTAAAGTTGGACATTTTAACATGGGGCTCTATGGGGACTGACTCACTGCAGGAGACAGACTCTAGTGGACACTGGAGGAACTGCAGCTGTAAAGTTGGACATTTTAACATGGGGCTCTATGGGGACTGACTCACTGCAGGAGACAGACTCTAGTGGACACTGGAGGAACTGCAGCTGTAAAGTTGGACATTTTAACATGGAGCTCTATGGGGACTGACTCACTGCAGGAGACAGACTCTAGTGGACACTGGAGGAACTGCAGCTGTAAAGTTGGACATTTTAACATGGGGCTCTATGGGGACTGACTCACTGCAGGAGACAGACTCTAGTGGACACTGGAGGAACTGCAGCTGTAAAGTTAGACATTTTAACATGGGGCTCTATGGGGACTGACTCACTGCAGCAGACAGACTCTAGTGGACACTGGAGGAACTGCAGATTTATTTTTTTGTCAAACTTCAACATCTTTTCCATGTTTATGACGTCTTTTGAGTTCTGTATTTTATATTTTACACTAAACAAACTGAAAAAACTTTAATACCATGAATCATGTTTTTCAATATTTATAAAGTTCAAGTGACGGTCAGAGACGATGTTTCCATGACAACAGACTATTCTGACACCTTTCTGTAGTATTCAAAGTTGAGTGATAACAGCTGATGATGTAACGGTTATGTAAAGTCTGATAACACCTGAAGCAGCCTTACAACAGAACCACACACATCAGGGCTTTCTGTGTTTCTGCTCCTGCCCTCTAGGGGGCGCTACAGTCCTCTGAATGATAGAAAACCTGTTTCAAACACTCTGAACACTCCAACTTTGACTTCATTCAATTTATAAATCATATTTACTGCTAACATAATGCACATTTCTAACATGCACTAATCTCACCTCTCTGTTTACCCATCGATGATGTTAACCAATCAACATTCATCTCTTTGCATTATTTGTTTTTCTTTAAAGAGGACATATCACCCTCCTCCTCCACCTTTTCAAACAGTCCCCTCCTCCACCTTTTCAAACAGTCCCCTGTGGTCTAAATGAAACATCTGTGCTGTGCTTTGGTCAAAATATAACATGAATCAAGCACCAGAGGAGGTTTGTGACCCTGTATAAACCAGCTCTCTCAGAACGCTCCATTTTGGTGTGTGTGTCTCTTTAAATGTAATGACCCCCCCCGAGTGTTCCCCGTAGACATCACTCCTCTGTAGTGAGAATAAAAATAGCGGACCTGTGCAAAAGTTTTGTTCTAGTCTGGGGGTGGAGTCTATGGGTGGAGATATCAGGGGAGGGGAGGGGATTTATTTTATTTTTTTACCAGAATCCCACTGTGACATCACAAGGAGAGCACATTTGAAACAGAGCATTTTTCTTCTGTGTTGTAAGACTCATGAAGACCACAAACAAAGGACTGGATGGGTTTATTTCACATTTTGTGGGTCTGTAGACACTCAGGTTACCCAGATATATGTTCAAAAACACTGAAGAAGAGGATTTTTCATAATATGTCCCCTTTAAAACGTGCAGAAACACACAGGTCACACCTACACATCCATCAGTAATAACTGATCACATTCATACACCACTGATGAAGCAGCAGGAGCATTTTGGGGTGCCAGAGGTCACATCGAACATGTGGCACCCAAGCTGGGGACCCTTTGAGAGACGACCAACTCAACCACTGAGCCACAGCTGCAGATCTTTTAACTCCACCTGAATCCGTCTGTAACCTGAAGTCCAATTCTTAGTTATTTCTATGACATCACACGCATGGAGAGTCTTTTTAAAAGGTGACATTTTTAAAGGTTTTCGAGAGTTTAATAGAGAGCAGAGAGCGTCTGAGACAATCAGAGAGAGACAGCCGGCTACTCTCTCCGTCAGCAGCCTTTAAATATTTGCTGAGTTTCCTGGAAGCGGCGAGGATATAAAGCTCAGTGTTCACTGCTTTCTGAGAAACTCACATGAGAGGGAGAGAACGAACACACACACACACACACACACACACACACACACACACACACACACACACACACACACACACACACACACACACACACACACACACACACACACACACACACACACACACACACACACACACACACACACACACACACACACACACACACACACACACACACACACACACACACAGCATCTTATAAATAAACTGGCCTCTGTTCATGGTTAACTCTTGAAGAAGCAGCGGAGCATTAATAATCAGAAATACGTTTGATGATGTGAGACTATAAACATTCTTTAACTTTATTTAACTTCAAATGTTTTACAGTGTAGATTCACTGGATTATGTTTGTTAACATCGATAAAATTTAAAGATATAAAGATTTAAATCTCATAACAGAAAATCAGATAATGTGTTTTCTTTGTCAGATTCAAAGTTGGACTCGATTAGAATACAACTTCGATGTCTTTAATCAAACTGTAGAAACATGTTGGACTTTGTGTTTATTTAAATCGATTTACTTTCTTTAAACTTTGGATTTTATTCTGAAGGTTTCGGACAAAACTATACACGCATATCAGTGTGTTATCTCAAAGTGTTTACTAGAGGCAGACTGCAGAAGCAATAAGAGTCAAACATGGAGCTTTCATACTCGCTGAAAACTCCTGAAGTCTTTACCTCCTGCAGGAACAGAGAAGTGACGTCACTCAGGCTCCCTCCATTAATATTTACAGTCTGTGGTTATCGTTTGTTACAGAGTCGTATCAGTGTGTTTTATGACCTCGGGGCACTCAACTCTATGCAGCGGCGGCGGCATCTCTAATCGCTCCTCTGAATGAAGTGTGAGTCGTCTTCCAGGAAAAATCCTGTCGACTTCTGTGAATAAATCAACCTGTTCAAACCGAGAGGAGGCGACAGGAGCGCAGGAAGTCAGAATAAAAACCAGAAAATTACTTTAATAAAGAGCCGGGATGATTCAAACTCTGATTGTTTGGATGAATTTATTATTTTATTCAGTTTTAAAGGCTGAAATCTGAGTTAGACTATGTTGAAGGAAAAGCTCAACAAACCCTGAGTTCAGTTTGAATCAGAGCTGTTACTGTTTGATCTAACATCTTTAATATATTTAATCTCTTATTGTAAACTGTTTTCTTGTTTAAAATGAGTTTTCATGTATTTTTGTGCAAACTGTCTCAGTAAAAAACAAAGATCTTCATATTGTGGTGAGATGATCAGCTCAAACATTTTTATAAAATCCTCCTCACAGTCACTTTAAAGTCTTTGATGATCTTAAGTAAAGGGTTAAAAGGAGATGAAGTGGTTCTCCGGGGTCACTTCAGGACGTCCTCGAGGACAGACGGGTGAACCTGAGCGGCGTTCAGACTCTGCACGAGTCTCTGCACCGTCGCTCTCCGGCCCTCACGCCGTCTCCACAGAATCAGAGCGGAGAGAACGGCCGCCTGCGTGCAGAGAGCGTGATCCGACCGACACCTGAACACGTCCTCCGCCGACAGACCCAGATCCATCAGCACCGCCTCTGACTCCTCCCCGATTCGTGACGCCAGCCGGGACAGATCCCGATCTGACGGGACCTTCTGGAGAAGCGAGTCGGGGAGCCGGCACTCGTCTGCGTAGAGACAATCGGAGATAACAGCGTTTATAATCTGAGAAGACAGAATTCAACATTTTTAATATCAACAAAACTTTTTGACCACGCCCCCTCTCTGGAAGGTGCTTGGGTGTACTCGGTCTTTCTCGCTCCATGTCCTGTTGTTTACGGTGAGAGGGAAGACTCAGAGGTTCAGAACAAACACCTAGCTGTGGGAGTGTCACCCACCTGGGGGAGGGGCTACTGCCCTTTGTGATGTCATGAAGGGAAAATCTCCAAACGGCCTGTTTGAGCACACATTTTCTGAAAAGTGGAGCAGGCAGAAGACGGAGAGGATGGACTTTTCTCATCATTGAGGGGTTTTGTAGACGGACTAGAGACACATGTTAGAGTGAGAGGAACATGGAGAAGAGGATTTGGGGAAAAACATTTGAGCAAACACTGTAAAACATTACAGATGTGAAGCTTTTATCGCCGACATAAACTTTTATCTTCATGGTCCAAACTCTTATCAGGTTGTACCTCACACCTGAGACGTTAACCTTTTCATTTGTTTGGTCATGATTTGCCTTTGCTAATGTCTTAATTTGATCTCTTTATTTATCTGAATCTGATTTTATTCTCTGGATTAATTTATTTTTTTTGTACTTTGAGTGAGAGCGATGTGACGGTGAGTGTCCAGCAGGGGGAGCTGTGATAAAACAAAACCAGCTCGACACGTTGTGACTCTTTTCCTGGTTTAAACTTTACTCGTTCTGACGTCGTTGTTGTGGCTGTAGTGTCACTTTGTCTGAGGGTTGAATGTTTGCTCTTCTCTGATTGGTCGACAGCTTTCAAGATATATATTTTAAAAAAATACTATAAACTCTATGACAGACAGCGTGTTGTTTCACCCACACTGAGGTCACTGTGACACACAGCGCTGTGTCCGTGTGTAACCCCTGTGTGTGTGTGTGTGTGTGTGTGTGTGTGTGTGTTTTTAATCACAGTGTAACTTGCCCTCAAACAAAAATTCTTCTTCCTCTTTTTTTTTTTGTTGATGCTGGTGAATCATTACGGAGAAAATGTCAGCTGGAAAAAAAGCAGTGAACACAAACTCCTGGAAACCTGCACAGAAAATGTCGGGGGGAGGGGGGGGTCTGTTTAGGAGGGGGTGGGGGTGGGTGTGTGGTGGGTGCTATAAACTTGGATCAGGAGCATGTGATGATCTGAAACATCCGGCTCTGCAGCTTTAACTGAGAAAAGCTGCTGTGACTGCTGCTGCCAAGATTCCTGGAAAGCAAGAGGCAATAAAAGGAGGGGGAGGGGAGGGGGGAGGAGCCAGACAGTCTTCTTCTTCTCTTTTCAAGCCATGTTGTCGATACTCATTCTTTTTCAAACCACCTGTATGAAAATGTACCGACCTTTAAAAGAAGCTTGTCTGTTTGTCTATCAGAAGAGGAACGAGTTCATTTAAAAGAATCACAGACTGACTTCCTGCACGCCGTCCACACGGCTCAAATCAAAAACAGAAACGTTGCAAAATGTTTTTATGCAGTTTCGACAGCGTGCAGGATGTTTTTCTTATTGTTCAATGACTGAAACTAGATATTAGGGTTGCAGAAATGCAAAATTTTCTCTAATCGATTATTCTGTTCATATATAAACAACACAACTTCAGAAGGTCAACACTTTAAAAAAATAAATAATAATAATTTAATTTTAATTGTAATATTTTTTATTTAATTTATTTAATTTATTTAATTTAATTTAATTAAATTAAATTTATCGGTTTTGTGGTTAATTTGTAACAAATGTTTCATGTCATGTACATCTTTGTAACCTGCTACTGGATGCTTTGAATTTCCCTCGGGATCAATAAAGTATCTATCTATCTATCATCGATCTCTTCCCATTGTTAAAGCGAGTACTCGAGTAAACGTTTTGTAGTTCTTTTTTTTTCTGTGATTCTTTTCCCCCACGGGAGGCCCCGCCCCCAAATATGTTATCTATTGATTTATTTGAATCTTTGTGTTTTCAATAATTGTTAGTAATCGGCCTACTTTGTATTAACGTTCATATTAGAACATTTCTTACTTCAACAGACAGAAAACCTCAAATAGAAATCCACACAGACCGTTTTAACACTTTATTATAATTAGTGAGTGCGGCAAAAATCCGTCCGCTAGCCGTAACGTAAGAGTCGTACTTTTGATCACATAGGAGGAGCTGTTTCGTCGTCATGGAGACGATCAGTGGACTCTTCTTACGGTTCAGTCTGAACGTCTTCAAAGAGAGACGGAGCGAGCTGAGAATCTTTAAAGGGACCAAAAATCTTTCTTGATCCGTGACGTGGATCGGCGCCGTCAGCCCGGTATATCCGTTACGCAAATGACGTCGGTATCGAACCCGTCAGATCTGATCTGTGTCTGATCGTCTCTCAATGGAAACGCACACCAGGAACTCCTTTGAAACACGTTGGACCATGAAGTGTAAACGTGCTGTTACTACAACCTGTACGGACGCTAACGTTACGTTAGCTTGTATTTTTTCATTTCAGCAGTCAGAGGGGAAATCACACACACACACACACACACACACACACACACACACACACACACACACACACACACACACACACACACACACACACACACACACACACACACACACACACACACACACACACACACACACACACACACACACACACACACACACACACACACACACACACACACACACACACACACACACACACACACACACACACACACACACACAGGAATGAACAAACAGCCGTTTCTGAAAAGAATCAGCGATGAAGATGAAGATGATGATGATGTTAGTTTCTCAGACTGGTTTCCTGGAATGCGAGCTCGGCGTGTTCTTGTGAGGTGATTATTATTTTCCCTCGAACACGCTGACTCACTTTTCCTGGAAACTTTGCTGGTTTGTTGTTCTGAGTAAAGTCACGCCTCACGGATCTGCTCACACTCATTGAGCACTGATAATCTCACTTAATCTGCACTTTGAATCCACCTCCTTTCTCTCCACATACAAAAAACATAACTTCAAAATAAAAGCTGTTTCCACATTTTTCATCTGAGATGTTTGATTCAGCTTTACTCTGTGATTTACTTTAAACTTTTAATTTCAATTTAGACTCTTAAATCAGATTTTAATCTGAATCACAGACTGTAAATCTGAATGTTTGAGGTCTGAGTGTCGTCCTCCGTCTGTCCCTGCAGGGGGCGCTGGAGTCCCATCGATGGCGGTCTCCATGCTGGAAATGCTGTCTCAGTCTAACTTTCAGTCAACCTAACGACAGGCTGAGAGCTGGAGCTGAGGCGGGTTTTAAACCTCCTGACAAACCGTTACACCGCGCCCACCTGTCAATCAGGTCAGCTACACGCCTTATTGTGAATAACTCTTATCCTTCATCAAATCAAAACTGATGAGTCATCAAAACATTCACCCCCCGTACAGTGTGTGTCCATCCAGACATGAGCTAATCACACCTATTTGGTTTTTTGAACCAGGCTGTAAACATGTTCATCTCTGCTGTAAAAACAGACTTTTTAGAATGGGTGTGTATGTGACTTCCTGTGTTTCTGCAGCCAGCCTCTAGTGGACACTCAGGGAACTGCAGGATTTTACACTTCAGCGTCGGCTTGAGCAGAACGTGTTTCTAACTTGAGATGTTTTTGTTTCATATTTAAATTATAAGTTATCTTGGGAGTTGATTGTCTTTGTTTTTGAGCTTCTGTGTGTTTGTGTCCCTGCAGGTCGCTAGTGGGCGGAGTTCCGTCACACCTGGACAGTCTCCCAGGTGTGGGCTGTTTAAGATCAGGCTGTCATCCTCACACTCTCCCAGTCACCACAGCTCCTTGTTGCACCATGTTTTATTGTAGTCTGATAATGTTAGATAAGTGTAGGACCAGGTGTGTTTCTGTACCTGTCGAGCTCGCTCCTGGTTCCGGTCCGGGTGGAGTCCGGAGCTCCAGCAGCAGTCTGTCTCTGACCCAGCTGAAGTCCTCCAGAGCCCGCAGGAACAGGGGGAAGGCCCGGGGCCCGCGGCTCGGCAGCAGGTCCAGCAACCTCAGAGTCCTCCTGGTGTCTGTGGGCTGAGACTGCACGTCCTCCACCTGAGCCTCCGTCAGGACGTCCTCCTGGTACAGAAACGGAACGATGGAGTCAGAGACCAGCAGCTGCCCGGACAGATAGAGCCGGTGTCTCCGCAGCAGGGCTCTGTGTTCCGGGTCCATGTGAAGAGATGACACCCGCAGATAACTCTATAAATCATAATAATTATCTCATAACCGATTACTCAACATCACAGCAAAGCGAGCGATCACAACAAGCACCAGCACCAGCGCGCTATGATATTCGGTCCGACTGGAAACAATCCAGCGGAACTAAAGTTTGCTGGCGACAAACTCTCCGTTTTCTTTAGTATTATTTATTTTAATGGTTACACTTAAGATATACAAGTCAGTAAGTACATTTAGATAGATTATAAAGAGTAGACCGACACAAAGGAACAGCTATTGTACAGTAGCTGAATTAATAAATAGATAAATACTCAAACAGTTATTAGGTAAACAGTGCAGTGAGTGAATGGATGAATAAACAATTACATTGCTATTAATTAGTGACTTAGGTACGGAAGCCCTAAGAGGACATGTAACAATACATTTGATTTATCTGTTTTCCTGTGATAACGAGTACATTTTTTGGTGTTTTCTCGACATTTTGACTTGTTTATTATTTATTCTCTCACCAAAGAGAGAGATGTTTGTCCATTAAAAATTGGTCATTTTTGAGGTCTTGACTATTTTAGCCTGTGGGAGGAAGCCGGAGTACCCAGAGAACACACGCATGCACGGGGAGAACATGCAAACTCCACACAGAGAAGCTCCTGTCAGACTTATAATTCAGAAACTTGCCTTCTTATTTATATCTTCGTTTTACTTTATTAGCATCAAAGTAGAATTTGCCTGGTCTCCCCTCGGGGGTCGGTTATAGCCACACACACACTCGCAGCCCGAGTCCTGACATTGTGTCACAGCCAAAGACGTACTTAGCGCAGCATTAAATCAGGATTAATAAGGAGCTGGGTGTGCTTTTTAATTCATGACTCAGATATAAAACTTGAAGGATTTGGGCTCTCACACTTGTTCTAGGAAAAGCCGATTAAGAGACCCAATAAGAGTTCACTATTATGTAACATTATTGTTCCCTTTCCTGAATCTAATAAGAACACCTGACAGGTTCATTTTGTTCCTCTTAAAAGGTCAATATTTCTATTTCACTGTTGATTGTATGGAAGCCTGAGGCGGACATGCATCAATACATTTTATCCTGTGCGACCATCTTTCCTTATTGATCTCGTCGTCTCTGGATAAAAGAAGTTGCACTGCAGCCGTCATTGGGGGAGAGGCGGGGTTACAACCTGGACTGTTCACCGTTCAGGGCTGACAAACTTTAAAACCACAGCAGTGGCTCAAAATGTGAAACATTTTGCAATGACAGTGGTATACCTCCCTAAGGGGGCCCCGTCTGACAGCACTCCCTCTCCTATGACGAATTACCTGTCTGGGAGTGAAAGAGAGGAAGAGGAGTAAGCGTCGGGACGCTGGTTGGAGGGGCCCCAAGAGACTCTAGAAACACCAAATTCTTAAAGTGACCTGATCAGATCCAGCTGCAGAACAGGGATTCAAATGCAGACTCACACGTGGCTGAATTTAATAAACAGTCTAGGTGGACACACAGGAAGGCAATCCATGAAGTGAACAATCCAAGAGGAGCAGGCAACATCAAGAATGACTAGAAAGACTCCCAAAGGAAGCAGAAGGCTGGAACTACGTGACACACTGAGAACTGGCAACATGAGGGCGTAAACACAGGGTTTATATACACAGACTATGAGAGGGTAACGAGCGCAATCAGGGCAGGAAAACATGAGGAGCAGGATCTGAAAGACAGAGACCAGGGTGAGTCCAAAATAAAAACAGGAACAGACCGTACTAAATCAATAGAAACAAAAACATGACCTAGGTAACTTTACGGGGTTGTGTCAACTCTTTCAAGCAGCCAGTATGTCCTCCTTCTAACTTTAGATTCTGCTCCTGAATGCTCTGGATTTGTTTGGACCAGAGAAGGTTTAAGGCAAGTTTTAAGGCGACCCCCCTCACACGGCCGTTTTGGACGCCCCTCGGTTTGTCAGATATGAGAGCAGTTATCAGGTCAACAGGTGTTGCAGCGATGGAAGCGGTCAAGAGAAGTGGTTCAGATAGAAGTGATTGTACCCGACCTAAAAAGCCTCTGCATGTTTCTAATAAGCTCCACGAGCAGAAACGTGCTCAAACTAGGATCAATATTGGAGATGCTTTTGAAAAATGGAGAGAGGTTAGAACACAGAAAGGTTTACAGACCCATGCAGAGCTGGATAAACACTGAAGCTTCAGAGTCCACCACATGGTGACCTGAGTGAGCATCCACTCTAGAGAGGAGGGGGAGACAGCTCTCTATGATGTTTAGAATTTAGACTGCAGTACCCATTTTAAACACTCGGGGTCAGAGTTACATACGGCTCCTTTAAATACTTTTTAATGGTTGTAAATTGTCTGAAATTTGGGTGATTTGTCATTTAGGAGGTGTTGATGGGTCTGGGTAGGGTGTAAATAACGATCTAAGAATCCTAAAGCAGTGACATCTTTAAATGGGTTTTGATTAAGTGACCTCACAACAGGACACACAAAATAGAGGATAACACTTCCACAACAGCTCCTGTGTGACTGACTCTTTTGTTTTCCTGCGGTCTGATTGGCCGAGAGCTGTGAGTACTACATCCAGCTGGGGTCAGAGTCCGACCGAAGCCCAGGAGGGGGAGTGGGGGGGAGGGGGAGGGGTGAGGCAAACTCATAACAGACGAAAAGCATCAAAAACATGTCTGTTTGTTTTCTACGCTGCTCGTCGATCGATCAGAAAACATCACAAACGTCAGAGTGAACTCCTCATGGTCGCAGCCTCAGACAGCCAATCAGACGCCTCCATTGACTGGAACAACAACAACAACAACAAACGGACACTGAAGAGACAGAGCCAGTTTCACTTGTTTGGTTGAACATTTGCTGCTTTTATTCGTCTTTAAATGATGATCAATGAAAAAATCTTTCTGGACTTTTTGTTGGACAAATTAAATAAATAATAAATAAATAAATATCAACATGTTTCTTTGACAACATGGACTTTGTTTTCTTGATTTTCAAGAGAAAAAAAACAGATGTAAAGATGCAAATTTGAGCTTCAATCACCTGAAAGAAAAACATTTGACCGACTTCAGCTGAAATAAAAAAAAATCAGCTAAAGAGAAAAGTGGAAACCCGTCTTCAAATGTTCAGGAACAGTAACAGGTTTTCTGTTTTCATTTGTTTTATTATTTAGCTGATTAGAAGAAAAAATCATCAAAACAACAGACTGAAAACATCTGCTCCAACAGCTGGTTCACTGCAGTTTTTCTCGTTCTGCAAATTTATAGAAAAAGAAAAATGCAGCGGACTGAGCGTGCAGAGACGTCGACTGTTTGACCAGAAAGTTTAACATCCTGAAATATAAATAGTTTGTTTCAGCAGCGTGGATCAACAGAACAAAGTTTAAAGAAAGACTCAACACAAACGTCTCTTTCATACAAAATAAATTAATCAGAGTCATAAAACTGCATCATCATCATCATCGCCCTCCTGAATGTTTTCGTCTCGGGTGTCATAACCACGCGGACTGATCGCTCCGATATCGACTGCTTCGGTCTGCTTGTGATTGAAAAATGGAAAAAAAAAACGTAAACGTTTGAAGAATCCAATAAAAAAAACTGTCGAGTTTTAATGGAGACATTAAATCAAATGTTGGTTGCCGTGGTTACAAACATCGTATCAAAGTTTAAAATTGTGGTACTGATAACAAATAAAGAGCACGCTGCTCGATTTCATGTTTATTTTTGAAGTTTGAATTTGAGGATTGTGACGCCATGCTGAGCTGTGACGATGTTTCAGACGCCATGTTGGGCCGTGTGGAGCTACAGACGGATTTTTAAAAAACAGAGTTCATTGACTGCGTGTCCTTTCTGCGACTCAACGCCGCGGTTTACGTCTGTAACCGTTAGCACTTAAACGTCTCATCAGATCAGAGTCTCGGCTTTAATCTGACGACGTGTGGAGGCGGCGTGTCGGAGCGCAGACCTCAGACCAGCACAGGCCGGTCCTCCGCGCAGTCGGGATCTGCTTTTATTCCTGCGGCTGCTCCGACGTGTGGGAGCAGTGCATTCTGGGATGCCACACAGCGAGTCCTGCTCCCTGCCTACACGTGGTAGCTGTAGTCCGTCAGGTAGTCCTTCAGTCTGTTGGGCAGCGGCAGGTCCTGCACCCGTCGGGTCCTCCTGTTGATGGCGATGCGACAGAGGTGCTGCAGAGCAGGCGTGGCCGTGTACACGGGTTTGGTGAGCAGCAGCTGCACGGTCCCGTTCGGCGCCGTGGATGCCTGAGGGTTGGCGGCAGCGGCGGCAGCGGCGGCCCTGTCGGTGGAGCGGGACAGGTGGACGTAGTGCTCCACCAGGTGCACCACGCTGTCAAACTGCTTCAGCTTGGGCTTCACCAGCACCACCGAGTCCAGCTTGAACTTCCCGTGTTTGTACTCGATGCGCAGGTTGGTAGGACCCGCGGACGTCATGGCCGAGATGGTGAACAGGTAATCCCTCTGAGAGCTGTCCCGCACCAAGAAGGTCCCCTCAGAAGAGTCCTGCAGGATCTCTTTAGCCTCGTTAGCCGTCAAACTGCCCCAGTACCAACCTGAGCCAGGAGAAAGAGAGAGAGAGAGAGAGAGTTAAGAGTGTGTGTGTGTGTGTGTGTGTGTGTGTGTGTGTGTGTGTGTGTGTGTGTGTGTGTGCTCATAATCAGAGCATATGTGTGAAGTTTGAAAGCGGTCGGTCTGCAGGTCCACTGAGCGGATATTAAGATGGACCAGAGAACCAAGACCTCCTCTGACCTCGTATCTTCCAGCTCATCTACAAGGTGGGAGGTTATTTAGCTCAAGAAAATAACATATTCCCACAGGCGGCCATGTTGCCATGATGTCACACTCAGGGTGGGAAACTCACAGCCAATTAGAAACGAACAGCTGAGTGTTGATTTTAACCCCAAACATTGAAAGTCATTCTGGATTAAAAGAAAACCTGTGTTCCTCAGGTGTGATAAAGAGCGTACCTGTGTTCCTCAGGTGTGATAAAGAGCGTACCTGTGTTCCTCAGGTGTGATAAAGAGCGTACCTGTGTTCCTCAGGTGTGATAAAGAGCGTACCTGTGTTCCTCAGGTGTGATAAAGAGCGTACCTGTGTTCCTCAGGTGTGAT